GGTACGCGGACTGCTTTTGTGCTTCAGCACGACTGCAGTAAGCGCTAAACCATGGACGAGCTTGGAGTCCATTGGGTACATCGGAGTATAGTATGTAATAATCCATACCCAAACGCAAGACCTCAACTACAGCATCAGCACAGCTCAACGAGTCTCCTGAAATAAAGCGAACCTGGCAGGATACGACGCAAAGAAATTTAAGAAAAGAAAGTACTACTTTAAGTACTTAATGTGTTCATAATTTTTTTCTATTAGTCGTTGAATAATTGCATATTGAACATATAACTTTACTTTCCATTATTTCAATAATTTCCCAAATTATTCAACTTACCATTCACGTTCATTCATCATAAAATTAACGGGCGGGTATTTACATGTGATGATTTTTATGCTATTCATTAAAGAAAGATTACTCGTGTAACTTAGGTTAATAGTTACTCACCTAATTTTAGACTTTATTACCGATGAACTTGTATTTTTTATTCTGTAATTTCAATACAAGAAGCACTTTTTGTAGTGAAAGCACCTACCTTATATAAATCCTTTCGTCAATCTCATTTATTTTATTACTCGTTCCAGCAAAACACCTTTAGTTTTCCTGATTCCTAAAAGAGCTTTAAGTTCTTTTTCCTTTAGCATAAATATGTAAAACACTTAAGTTTCTCATTATAAGCTATTTTTTACTTACATTGACTGACTACTCACTTTTTTCGTCTGATTTCGAGACCTATGCACATCCTATAGCACTGGCAATTCTTTATGCCGTCTAGTTGTTTCTTTAGTAATTTCCTGTTTATAATTTAAATATTCCAAAGTGTTTTATGGTACGGACAGATTATGTTATTTCCATTGCTAAGCAATTATTCTTCAGTCATGTACCACTGTCTTCGTATCTGTGTTCTCCAGCTTATGTGTCAGCATCTCACCTAACTCTGCAACTGATTAATCTCATATTTCTTGCCTTCTTTCTTTCCGCTCGAATTTTCTTTGTAAATATATGTATTTCCATTTATTCCTTTATTTTTAATTGTTACCTTTTGATTAATATCATTTGGCGACACTGAAAGTCAATTTAGAAAGTTAAGTTCACTTTACCAAAAATGTTTAATTAAAAAATGTTATTTTGGGGCGAGACCCGTAACAGATAGGAAAGAATTCCGAAATTAATAACGCACGTCTTTGTGGGTTCAAAGCTATATTTCGAATCACTTAATTAGCGGGCGCAGCCGCCAGTACATTATTGTATAGAATACCCGCTTATTACTAACATCCCTCCACCAATTTCTTAATGATATAAATATTACTATTAATTCCTTAGTTTTTAGAAATAATTCTATAATTAATATGCTTTCGAGGTCATAAAGTACGCTTCACATGCATATTAACCGAATTTGTGGCTGTTGCAGTTTTCGCAGCCGCTACTGATGATGTAGTTGCTATCGTTTCCGTGATTGGCATTTGTTCTTCTGAGTCCGTGGTCTCCGCCAAGTCTCAGTCTGTGGAGTAGGACCGTTTCCGTCTATTGTCCACTCAGGAGTTTGCTCTAATTGATCTAAAGATCGTGCTGACTCTGCTGTGATGTTCGTATTCGCTGTAAAACTGGAGGATTAATCTTTTCCAGGCCTTCCTTAGTTCCTTCGTCGCAAGAGCACTTGCGCCGAAGAAATAATATAGTCTACTACTACTGGAATAATGAAGTTTTTGTTATTCCACCTGAAGTTTGAGCAGCGCCGATAGAAGACACCTCTCTCTCCCCTCTTAACTCATAAATTTGATTCTTATGCCTCTTTATAACACGGTCCTCTCCAATAACTTTTACTAAGTATACTGATTTTCCAAGTTTTTTTTTGTATTATAGCCTTTGTCCATAATGAATTGTGATTATAGTGTATTTTTACCAAAATGACTTCACCAACGGTAAAATCAATATTGCTTCTAGCTCGATAGTATTTAACCTGTAAGCACTGATTTTCTTTTACTGCCTCTGTAAGCATTGTGTTGGTTGATGGTAACGTCATAGGATTTAAAAGATCCAATCGACTGCATAAATTCCTACCTAATGGAACCTGTGCAGGTGTTTGACCCGTTGAGGAATGTAACGAGTTCCTATAATTAAATAAGAATTCATTTAATTTTACATTTATATCCTTACTATTAGTTCCCGCTAATAAAATTGATTTTAACGCGTTTTTACAATTTTCACATAACTTTCAGCTTGACCGTTACTAGTCGTATGGTAAGTGGGGGAAGTTAGATGTGTGATTCCATTTTTTGATCAAAAATTCTCGAACTCATTTGATACGAATGAAGTGCCATTGTCGCTACATATGTTGTTAATTAAACCGAACCTCGCCATTAATTCACATAATTTCTCAACTACTATTCTGGAGCCATATCCGTTATTACCATCGAACTTCTCTACCCATTTTGAATACGCATCGACTGCCACCAAGTAAATTTTATTATTCATGGGGCCCAAAAAAACTAAATGGACCATGTACCACGGCTCCGGCGGCACGGGCCAGGGCGTCAAGGGGGCACGACGACGCGGCGCGGGGCGCAGCTGGGCGCACATGGTGCATGCGTTAGCCGCGCGCTCAAGCTGCGCTGCCATCGCCGGCGACCAGAACGAACGAGCGAGCGCGCTTCCGCTTTCATTTTAGCGACTCACAGGTGACCTCTATGCAATTCGTTAATAGTTTGCGCTCTCAAGATCTCGGGTACTATTAACTTAGCGCCGCGCACTAAACAACTGTCGACCGCCAATTCGAACTTACAATTGAAATAAGGTTTTATATTTCTATCTATTATCTTATCTGGCCAACTATTTAGTACAAACCGCGCAATCTGTGAATGGACAGTTTTTGTCTCTGTCGCGCGTCGCGTTTTATCACAACTTAACTTTTACCCAAATTGTGTAAAAATTGACACAAACGAAGTTTTTCTTGCATTTCGGAAAGTAAAATGCTGAACAACGAACGGAATGTGTCTACAAATAATAATAGTTTTGAAGTTATTATTGAGTTGGGCTTTCCTCGATTCGACTAAACTTTTGCCACTGTGATAACAAAACGTGTTCAGGGCTGCAAAAATATATTAAATTTAATTCGCAAACATCTGCGAGTTACCCTCAACTTCTCATTTATAGCGTTCAAATATCTGTTAACTATGTGTATACAACTTATATCATGCTTGTATTAAGTAAAAATAGTTTTAGGTAATGCATAAATATTTATCTTCATTATATCGAGGTTACAAATACGAGTTTCGTTGGTTGTGCTGCTATTATGCTTACAAAGCTGTACGCAAATATTTTAGCTCCTTAGCATTCGCTAAGTAACAAAAGTTCAGTAAGAATTCACCAGTCCGAATGGGGCGCGACAAAATTGTTTTACTGCGGTTAGTTAACACATGCGTGAAGCGCAATTCTTGCCTTATTTACGTTTGAACTCGGATTAAGATAAAACTCCTTTTATAGGGTAGGTATGTGCATGGACATCCTACACAACTATTTCGAAAAGAGTTTATATGTTTTTGCGCACAATCAGTGGGACAGGTACAAAATAACGGTAACGATGACGATATAACCTGTTATGTGCATTTTGTGGTGCAGACCGACTCGCCGCCTGTCTCCGTGAATGATGTAATACGCGCGACAGAGACGGATACTGTCCTTTTACAGATTGCGCGGTTTGTAGTAAATAGTTGGCCAGATAAGATAATAGATAGGCCCTTGCCCGTGCCGCCGGAGCCGTGGTACATGGTTCATTTAGATTTTTTGGGTCCCCATGAATAATAAAATTTACTTGGTGGCAGTCGATGCGTATTCAAAATGGGTAGAGATGTTCGATGATACTAACGGGTACGGCTACTGTATAGTAATTGAGAAATTATGTGAATTAATGGCGAGGTTCGGTTTAATTCACAACATATGTGGCGACAATGGCACTACATTCGTATCAAATGAGTTTGAGAATTTTAATTAAAATTACATATAAAGTTATTTACCAATAAATGTAACGATGGAATTGCATTATTATGGAATCTAGTCACATTCAAAGTTCTATTAAAATTTGACTTCACAATGGAGCGAACAAACGAAGATGGTATTTGATCCAATGTTTATGTTCGGCAGTCCTATAATTTCCAACCATTCTTTCTTTCTTTTTTCATTTATAGGTAAACTTTAAAAATAATAATAATGAAATAATAAAAACCTAGTAGTGAATTGTTTTAATAGCAGAATATCGATAATATGTCTGCTTACAAGAAACTACACTATCTCAAAATAATCGTTATAAACAATTATCAAAATATAACAACGAGCAGGCAAACTTAAGTAACCGAAGCAAAATTCGGCCAGACTTATGAATAAACTACTTAAATGAGTCTAATTACATGGGATATATGGGCTATTGTATGATTTATAGGCACAAAAATAACACATTCACACACGTAATGTAACATTCGGTTGATTTCCGATTTTCTACTGCCGCACCCCGTGATGCTGTAGCGACGCATTTTAATCAATACATAATTGTTCTCACTGTCAATATTTTTGTCCATTTGATTACAATTCATGCGAGTAATTCAATAAAACATTTGGCCAAACATTGCTTTTGACATCTCATGTACTTCCCTTTGACAACCGGAAACGGTTATCAAAGGGTACTCCAAAAATTGTAAAATGAGGACAGGACAGGACAGGACTTTATGAGAGACTTAAAGATTATAAATCAAGGCTTTGCAACAACTTTGCAATTTCTGAGTAAAATTTTGCGTGTCAAAAAACCTTGAGGGCCAGGAAATGTCGCAACGGTATTTCCGATATCAAGTACGATTGCCAACCTTGTTAAAATTTTCTGTTTTGCTAAACGTATACGACGGCTGTTCCAAAATAGTTAGCGACAAAGTAAATGTAATCTCTTTTCCTGAAACTATTTTGAATTGACGGATCATTTCAATGTAAATCTCCCTGGTGAAAATCATTGCCCACTGTGTATAGGTCTTTTTTAAAATATTTTTATAAATTATCTAATACTCCACTTTTGTTTGCAACAATAGACGTTCCACACGTGGTTTTTAGTAGGTACTATGATTTTGTATTATAAACGTTGGGTTAATCTTCAAGGAATCTCACGACAATTTACAAGCTTTTTTTGGGAAATCTACTCCTGCATTAGCAACAGTTACTTATTGGTTTCGAGAATTTCACCGTGATTGAGAGAACCTAAACGACAGTGAGCAAAGTATAATATCATTGCTAAACAATGACACACAGAACCGGCCGACCACCAACTGCAGTAACTCATGAAAAGTCATCAGGGTAAAGTGGCTATTGCGGGAGAATAGATACAATACACATCTGGAGATTCAGGCTGAATTGAAGTCTGGATCACAGACAGTTTCCATCATTCTGCATGAACATTTTAAAGTTAGGGACGTTGTTTCGCGATAGATATCTCATTTCCTTAGCGAAGAGCAAAAATCCCGTCGTGTTGATTGATGCAAATATATTATGCTAGAAAAGTTCGAAGGCGGAACTTAGCGAAACGTATCCTACATCTTTATAACCGGTGAGTCTTGGATCTATGTACAGCTACCATCCTCCAATGAAGCAGTAATCCACGCAATGGGACGAGTTGCCCACAAAAGTTGTTCGCGGTCGGACCGTTAATTTAAAAAATAATAGCGATTGTTTTTCGACTCAGTGGGCTAGTAGCAGTAATTTGCTAGAAGACCTAAGAATAGTTACCAATGATTGGTATTGCGATGTTTGTCTGCCCCACGCTTTCATAGAGTAGAATAGCGAGCACTCAAGAAGCGGCGTTTGTGGCATTCTTTTTCACCAAGATAACGCACCTGCTCACACAACTGCTAGAACCATCGACTATTTGTCAACTTAGGGAGTACAAATGTTACCCCATCCTCCTTACATCCCAGTTAGCTCCGTGCGATAACAATTCCACAGTAAAATAAATGCTTCATGGGCGAAAATTTAGCACCGCAGGCTAGGCCGTCGAAGAATTTCGGTGGTTATTTTTCGGTACTGCAGCGCATCAGGCATGTTCGCGGATGCCCACACGGATGGTTTCCATGCTATCCTTAGAAAGAGAGCTGCCTCATTAATGGGTTGTATCCGTTGCGGCACGAATGAGATTCTGCGCGTTGTGGCTGGTAGAGTGGATTGCCCGATCATGCTACATTGCATGAAACTGCATTTGAAACCGTGTCGGTGATTTATTTGATATTTAATTTAATTTGGTTAATTATTCTAATTATCTAAGCTAATATTATAATTGTAAAATATGGACTGTAGTTGTCTGAGAATAAATGATTTTTGATTTTGATTTTTTGATTTTTCGACCTCCCGCAATATTTCCCGTTTTTTAATGTTTTTGAAAGCTGGTTCACCCAAATGCATAAGTGCATAGGGGTTGGAAGGAAATATTTTTAAAAACTATCGAACTATTTTTTTATATTATAACTATTTTTAATAATTAATTTTTCTTTTTTTCACGGCCGTCAACTAAAATGAATCTTCTCTGAAAGTCCTTGAAATCTTGATTATCACGAAGTCTTTTTGCTCTTTCTTCATCACTTAACTTCATTCCGATTTTTGCTGGGGAATAATCAATACGAATCTGGTCACTTGTCTCGGTCTCAATACCTTTCTTCAACTGAAGACTTTTTTGATTCATATTTAAAACTTTTGTATCAAAGTCTTTTTCCATATGAACGGCATTGTTTTCTATAGCCACTGTTTCAATTCCGTTCTTTCTTTCTCTCATTATATTGTCCTTATCGACTTGCACTTCATCGTTTCCATGGTTTTTCCTTTTCATTATCTTCTGTAAATAATCTTCAGTAACCACATCAATTTTGCTATCCATTGTCTTGTTTTGCGTCGAAGTATCGACGATTTCTAGTTCATCTTCGCTGATTACTGCGGGTTTGGCTATGAAATTGCGATTTTCACGATCCAACTTCTTTTCCAATTCGTCTTTCATTAAATCCATTTCTATTTCATGTTTTACTGCCCACCGGTTTGGTGAATTATCTTTATCTTTGTCAGATGGTGACGCCAAATTGCTATCGGTGCTGTCTTCAGGATGATACGGATTTCCTATCATTTTACCATTTCTGTCGACTTTAGCCGTAATTTTACTGATCTCAATAGGTGTATCTGATATCTTATAATCTTGACTAGTCAGCCCCGCTAGTATCTTTAGAATATCATCGCAGTCTATTTGGATTTTGATGGATTTCCCATGGTTTTCCGTCACAAGGCATATCAACGCTATAATAGAAACAAAACACATAGTTATGAAACCAGCGAACTAGTTTTAACCTAATTTAACTAATGTGTCTTTATTATTCTTCATTATTCCCTGCTCTACGTAACGTAATATATGAAACGAAGTAAAATTGACAATTTGAAAAATGCGTTAATTTTAAAGACATGGCATACACATTACATCCAAAGCCACGTGAGAAATGATCAAAATGGTGACCGTTCGGTCACGGAGTCAGTCGAGTTGAGAAAGACATTTGTTAATATATATTTTATATTCCTATAATATATACATAAGTATGTAAATTATTTTCAATAGCACCCGTAATTTAATGGCTACTTATTAATAAAATTTTTATTGAATTGATATTCAATTTTTTTTGTGAAATTACTCCACTAGTTTGTTATAATTATTAATACAAAGATCGAACACTCAGAAAAAACACTCAGAAAAAATTCCTTCGATCCGGTCGGATTCGAACCGACGTCTTCTTGCATACCGTGCCAGACGCTTTACCAACTAAGCCATGGAACGAACCAACGGACCTCACGAATTTTTCTATGTGCTTGCGTCGTGTCTTTGTACTTGGTCTTTCAACGACTTTTTAGTCGTAGCGTCATCTATGAGAAATCTTTGACAGATTTCTCACCCAGTTAGTACCTTTACAGCTACCATTCCTGGCGAGAGATATCGCTATTCACTGTATTAATTAAATTTTTATTGAATATCAATTCAAGATTTCAGAGAAAGATTATTATTCTTGCACGTTATGCAAGAAGACGTCGGTTCGAATCCGACCGGATCGAAGGAATTTTTTCTGAGTGTTTTTTCTGAGCTATTTATTATTTTATGATTATCCAAGAAATGGAAAATAAAATTTTAAATTAATTATGTGCTTACTAAAGAAACTGACGATCTTGATCATGGTTGCAAACACTATAGTCTACAACAATTTCAATCAGTAAGCTCATAAAATACCTGATAGCAAAATCTTCAAAATGTGTACTTAAAAGTAATTAATTACCTTTATCAACTGCAATTTAAATGAAATTTCAAAGTAATTACCGTACCATTGGCTGTTATATAATCATATAAGTAGGTAGAAATGTTCTTGGTTTCCGTAAGAAGTTTTTTTATGATACCAAGTGACGGGACGAACAAGTCGTACGCCTGGTGGTAATCGACACGACTGTTCATAACACTTGCAGTGTCACTCAGAGCTTTAAATCACAAAGTTCTAACGGGCACTGCCACTGCGCCCGTCACCCTGAAACATAACTTTATAAGTCTCATGTGCTTGTAATTTCACCAAATAGTGTACCGATGATTAAACTTACCGATACAACCGATGATTAAAAAACCATTTACTAAGCAAATGAGACAGCTCTAATGGCATTCGTCAACATTTTGATTACACTTCTGTGTTTTTACAACCAAGCAAAGAACATAATGTTGTTTTATCTGTCACGACTCCTTACCAAAAATACATTTTCCTGTCCACAAATTGCTAAATATCATTTGAAGATCGATCATTATATGCATGACAAGGTTAAAATAATTTAGGTAAACGTTTACATTTATTATGATATAGGTATCGACGGCTAAGCATGTTCGTAAAACAAAATGGCTTAGAAAATATATCTTATCGAAGTTAGGTAACTTCGCTAAACGTTGATGTGGGACTACATGATTGAAATTGTCGTAGGTGCGAGCGGATTCGAATCCACGGCCTCTGCTTGAGAGGCGGTAGGTCAAACCATTAGACTACCACAGCATAGTTACTTATTTTTTCCTAATAGACATACCCTGCCATTTAGCTTACTATAGGTCGTTGTAATAATAACAACTACAACAAATTAGCTGCAGCAAAAAAGTCGTTAAAAGCCAAAAACAAAGATCTGCAATAAACACAGGAAAAATCGTAAGGTCTGCTGATTCGTTCCGTGGCTTAATTGGCAGAGCATCTGGCATGGAATTGCCGGAGAGAGCTGGTTCTAATCCAGCCGGATGGTATGAATTTTTCATAGTGTTTCGATCTTTGTTATAATAATTATAACAAACTAATGGAGTAATTTTACAAAAAAATAAATGAATACCAAGTTAGTAAAACATCGTGACATTCAATAAATTTAAAAATTACACCAAATTAGTTAAAAAAATATGATCAGTTAACCGAGTAAATTTACAGCTCAAATAAAAGCGGTACGTGCTATAATATGGTGTCCATCGTTCCGACTTCAATTAAATTTACCCCGAAGGACCCGTTGGAGAACTTAAGTAAGCTGGTCACTCCGGCGAGCCTTTGGAACAAAATAATAAAATCCGTGATGTCATGGATACTATGGCCTACATACGACAGTTATATAGTTAGTTGCCAATTTGAGCTACAATATTTTTTTCATTTAGAGTGGCTGCAAAGTTTCTTCTTTGCAATAACAATGTTATAAAAACATGTATTGATTTGTTATTAAATTTAGTTATAGTAATTGTGTCGTTCTTTAAAGGAAGCCCATATTGAGTTGTGGACATCTTTCGGCTGAAATGACGATGTTGATGAATAAATAAAGCATGTAAATAAACTAGGTTTTGCGCAGCTACGACAAGCACGAAATGTTTCGTCATGCATGCTTGTAAATGTTTATGCCTTTTACGGAAAAACTACACATGTAATCTAGCTTAAGGGTTGTAAACTCATAATTTAAATGCTTTTTTTTTGCTTTGTAGCTATTAGTATGTATTAATATTCTTTGTTATTCTTTGCTAATAGTTTGTTACCTGTTTATAATATATCTATGAAATAAATCAAATTTGATAATAATATTACATTTCTTTACATATTACAAAAGTAATATAATTAATTATTTTTAATAGTTTTGGATTGTCATAAATTTTGTAATGACCAAAGAGGTCCATGATGGATCTGATTATGGTGACTAGTCCTGAATGTACCAACAATAACATTGCATGTTACGTAATGTTTACGGTAAAACTAATTAGACATTGACTATATTTATTTAACTATAATCAAATAAAGTTACAGTAACTGAGTGTTGATTTTGTGCCATTGAGAATGAATAATTCTAAAATATTTTAATTGAATAAATCACAATAAGTTAAAATAAATAATTTTATTTTAAAACTCACACGTGATAAAATTGTTACAGATTTTGCCTGTTTCGGATACGGATTATTGTGGCATTACTTATATCTGTCATATAACATCGGTTCTTGGAAGAAAAACGATAAGTAGCTACAATACATAACTACTTAATTAGACTACGTAACACGCCAGCGTTTCCTAAAACAAAACATCTGATTTCAATAAGCTTATTATATAGTTTTTCATACGTAATGAAAATTGAGATGTCAGAACGATATGACGGATGAAAAACGACTTTTGTGAGTGTTTCTTTTGGTACTCCATTCAGTGACGAATTACCCTTGTAACCTAAGTGGTTTTTTGTGACATTGATATAATGAGTGAGAAAGAAATTAATTATATTTAAGGCAGTTACAGCTCAGAGTCCTACAATCTGTATAGGATAAGATTTTCTTTTTTTGCGTGTAAAGGAAGGTTCATTCACGGAGTGAAACAAATTATCAATTTAATTTCTATATGTGTATATGTTATAATATAAAGTATTCGTAAATTAAACCATTTTTTCGGATCTAATTCGCGAATATTTGTTTTTTCAAACAAACAAACGTTTCGCGCCCCTTACAGGACTCGTGGTCACGGTTGACTACACAGACCACATGTGGTTGACTATGATCAATGCTGAGTCAGCGGAGCTAAGTATTTGTTCATACAAAGCGAGAGATATGTGTGAGGGATGCAGGTGACGAACGTGTACGAGGGAAGTCAACTTAAAGACGAAATTATGGATATTATATACAACATAAATCGACAAGTCCTTACGCACTGATAGAAATAGAACGCATACTTCCCGATATGGTGGAAAAAAGATATTTATACTGTTGTACGCGGATAGATTCCAAAGCAAAGAATCAAATATGAGAAGACCTAAATGTGGAAAATATAAAAGAGTGATCACCGGCCTGCAAAAACTATGATATATGGAGGGAATATTTGTGCATTTTTATGAGGTACGCAATGGTCAATTTCCGCCGGAAGTAAAAAATATTCGAAATGCAAATAAATAAGATGGCCGCCATACAAATTCCAAAGTCTCCTATCACGGAAACTATTAGAGATAGGTAGGAGGTGCTCGAAGGAATGTCATAGAGATTAATAGTGGTCAACTACTTGGATTGGCGGCCGAAGAAAAACTGCCTTCGATCCGGCTGAAAATTGGTATGCGGGGGTCTTTAGGAGTCCTTAACCACAATTTGCGGTCAAAAGTTTCTTTTCGCCATTTTTTAATATGGCTGTCATATAAGCGTTTTTTTCGTCAAAAATAACTGCCGAAAAGGACTTGCTCTTGTTGTAATGAAACGCCATGTTAGCCAAGACTGGTTTATTTCAGATTTACCCTCACATGTATAATATAATATCATAACATCTTTCCCTTAAAAAAAAAAGTAACATTACTTACATTTATTAGAGTAATACATTATTCTTCATTGGAACATTGCAGGCAATCTATTTACATAATAAATGAATTTCTACATTGTCTTATCTTACATTTAAATAAACTAACAGTATAGTAGTTTCTTTCATGCATGCAAATCAATTTATATTTAAATTTATATTATAGAATAAATTTTTAAAACAGATTGTTTATATTTTTGTACAAAACATATATGTATTTATTTATTTTACTTTAATGATTTCAACATATCGTTTATTCTATGTCTAGCCTCAATAGCTCTGATGCACGTTCCTGAACATTTGCATGCCTTCTTTTGTTGTTTTCTACCATGATTACCGGTTCGCCTGGACCTTCGCCTTTTCATTATTTTTTGTTTCCTTTGGATTGTTTCATAATCTTGGCTTTGTGAATTATATAGTAGCAATTTTTCATCATGTGTTGGTAATCGTGTGTTGAGTCTGCGTCCCATTAATATTTGTGATGGTGCTCCATATCCGTCTCTTGGTGTTGTTCTGTAATTTAAAAGTCCCAAATAAAAATCTGTCCCTGACTCGAGTGATTTTATTAGCATATTTTTTGTTATTCCTACACTTTTTTCACTCCTACCATTGGATTGAGCATAATGAGGTGATGTAGTAATATGATCTATTCCCCATTCTTTTGCGAATTGTCGAAATTCCTTTGATGCATATGCTGGTCCATTGTCGGTAACCAATTCTTTTGGTATGCCATGTCTTGCGAATTGGTCTTTCATAGCTAGAATTACAGTTTTACTAGTAGGTAATATGTGTTAAGGGATTCACTTCAATGTAATTTGAAAAATAGTGTACGAGTATCAAAAAATACTTCTTTCTAAATTGAAAAATATCCGAGCCTACCTTGGCCCATGGAATATCAGGTATATGATGTGGTAACAGTGGTTCTCGCTGTGGACGAGGTGCTCGTTCACGGCACGTTGTACAACTACGCACAGCTTGCTCTATGTCACACGACATTCTCGGCCAGAATATTACTTCTCTAGCGTGTCTTTTACAGCGGTCTATTCTCATGTGTCCATCATGAACACGTTTAACCATCTCCGATCTTAATTGACGTGGTATAAATACAACATTGTCTTTGAATATTATCCCGTCGATGTATTCTAATGATTCTCTGTACGGCCATACATCTCTTCATGCTCATCTATTTGGTATTTATTATCTGGCCACCCACATTGTATGTAATATATTATCAGCTGGCACTCTATGTCATTTATGGTCTCCTCCTTGATCATTCGTTGTTTACTATCACTGAATCTTACATTTCTTACAACTCCTCCGATACCTTTTGTTGCAAGAGTTCTGGTAGCGGTGCTCGTGACAGCGCATCAGCAACATGCATGTACTTTCCTGGTTTATAAACTACTTTAAAATCATAGCCCTGTGTACGAAGCATCATCCACTGTAATCGCGCTGGTACTGAATCTAAACTTTTATTAAATAGTGCTTCTAATGGTTTGTGATCTGTCTCACTAGTCACATCTTTTTTCCCAAAAACATATTGGTGAAATCTTTCAAGAGCAAACACAATTGCTAACAGTTCTTTTTCAATTTTCGCGTCTGCGCGTCGGTCAGTGTTGTAGAAGCAAATTCAACCGGTCTCCCAGCCTGCAACAACACTGCGCCTAGAGCGGTCGCACTTGCATCCACTGACAATAGCACTGGCACCGTCGGCGAATACAAAGTTAACACCGGCGCACTGCACACTAGTTGCTTCAGCTGTTGCACTGCATTGTCGTGTACTGGCTCCCATAGCCATTCTATGTTCTTTTTCAGCAAACTTCGTAACGGTGACGCTACTTCAGAATATTGTGGAATAAATTTGGACAAGTAATTAACCATGCCTAGAAAACGTTCAAGTGATGGTTTATTCTGAGGTGTTGGCATTTCCATAATGGCATAATTTTTTGCTGTCCACACGCATTCCGTCGGCACTGAACGTATGTCCCAAATAAGTGACCTTCCTTGTACGAAATTCACGTTTTTCTTTATTGAACTTAATACCCACTTTCCTTGCCATTTCAAGAAGTCGCTTTAAACGTTCATCATGTTCCTCTATAGTGGCTCCCCACACAATAACATCATCTACGAACGAGTCAACACCTTCTAAGTCCTCAAGTAATTGTCTAATCTTTGCGTGAAACACCTCGGATACACAATTGATTCCATAAGGTAGGCGTAGGAACTGATACCGCCCAAATGGAGTTCCAAATGTACACAGGTCCGCACTTTGTTCCGTTATTTGTACCATCCAAAATCCAGACCTAGCATCCAGCTTACTGAAATATTTGGCTCCTTCTAACTTTATAGCAATGTCTGTTATTGTTGGTAGCGGATAGTGTGCACGGCGTATAGCGCGATTGAGTGGACGCGGATCTAAACATATGCGCAGGCTGCCGTCTTTCTTCGCTGCCACTACTATGGCGTTGACCCATGAAGTCGGATGAGACACCTTTCGGATCACACTCATTTTCTCCATACGACTTAATTCCACTAATAAGTTGTCACGCACACCAATAGGAATTTTTCTGACAGGACAGACCGATAGCTGTACATCATCTTTCAATGTTATATTATATTTACCTGGCAACTTACCTAGGCCCTGAAACAAATCATTGTATTCTTCTATTTTAAGTGCATAGACACGATAAATGAACCCCAACTGTTCACAAGCATTTTTTCCTAACACACTTTGACAATCGTGTTCCGATACTATAAAATACAATTTATATTGTTTATGCTTTAATATCCAGCTAATATAACAAGATCCAATTATTGGTATATAATTACCACAGAATGATTGTGCTTTTATATTCTCTGGTTGCAAATTATTTGTGTTTAACCCTAATTTTTGATAGTTTTTTAATGACAATACATTAAGATCAGAACCAGTATCAAGCTTAAATTTTTCAATATTTCCATTTAGTTTTAAAGATATATATAATTCATACCATTTTTTAGTGTCCATATTTTCAGAATTACCATCAATTGTAGAAATGTAATATAACTCACCATCGTCAATCCCATTACGACATTCGTAGTCCTCACTTTCTTGTATTTGGTACACTTTGTTTTGCACGAACTTCCGTCGACACATACTTTTAAAATGCCCTATCTCATTACATCGATAGCATCTTACCCTCTTAGCAGGACATCGCATACCACCATCACAATATGTACTCGCGCACGAATTACACTGACCCTGAGCCGGCCCACATGCCAGCCGCACCAAGTGCGCCCGCAGGTCGCGCGCGCTGTGGCCGTCGCGCGCATACTCCCACAGCTGGCTGGCGCGCACGGGTACCGCGTGCGCTGCCGCTCACCGCATCCACCAGCGCAGTCGCCGCCTCTTCGACGTTGCCGCTGCCCTTGGTCTTTTCTATTTGGCGTTTCTCTTCACTGGTCATCTCGCTCGTTTGACATATTTTTACCGCTAATGCTAATGTCAGTTCATCAGCCCTTAGCAAGCGATCGCGGACTTTACTGTTGACGACACCACACACAATTCTGTCACGGATGAGGCCTTCCTCGAGATGCTCGAATTTGCACGTCCCACTCAATAACTTCAATGCCGTAACGTATTCGTCAATAGATTCGCCATTTTCTTGCTGTCGTGTGAAAAACTCTTATTTATTTTTTTCCATCCTCTAAGGAAAAACTTAAATCGTGACATTGTTGTGTTTTGTTTCGTTCGGAAATGCTCATTAAATTTTTTCACTAGCGTGTCGAGATCTTCACTCTTTTCGTCTTTCTCATATTTTAATGTCGAAAATATGTCATACCCATCAGGACCTATAAGATTCACAAGGAGCTTTCACATCGGATTGCTCTTTATGCACACCCGAAGCTTTTAAAAACACACTGAACTGCCTATACCATTTGCGCCACGTTTCCGCCCGCGCGACCGGTCCGCCTACTAAACACAATTACGTCGGGGGACGAACGTGTTCCATGATACTGTTATAAATTTAAATTCTATATTTAATTAACTTTATTTTTCAATATTTTTCACGTCGAATTGTGCACTTTGTAACAGTTTATTTTATTTTATTTAATCCCACCGCTGCCACCATGTTGTAATGAAACGCCATGTTAGCCAAGACTGGTTTATTTCAGATTTACCCTCACATGCATAATATAATATCATAACAGATCTGATTCGGCTGAAAATTGGCATGCGGAGGCCTCTAGAAGTAATAATAATTTGTGGTCAAAATGGTTTTTCGCCATTTTCAAATATGGCCGCCATAGAAGCGTTCGTTGGCGGTATAAAAAAAAATGCTCTGATCCCTTTGAAAATTAGCATGTGTGGGTTTCTAGGAGTGCTTGATAATAATTTGTGATCAAAAATGGTTTTACGCTATTTTTTAATATGGCCGCCATTCAACAACTAATAAAAATTAGCTCTAATTCAACTCTTTCACAATTCAACAAAATCGATATATTAGGATCTCTGTGTTTGATAATAATTTGCGGTCGAAATTTATTTTTTACCTTTTTTCAACATGGCTGCCATACAAACTTTTTTAGCGCCAGATAAAATTTTACTCTAATTCGATTGAAAGTGGACATGTCGCGGTCTCTATGAGTGTTTAATAATAATTAGTGATCAAAATTTATTTTTCGCCACTTTTCAATATGGCTGCCATACAAACTTTTTTTGGCGGAATTAAAAATTTCTTCTAATTCGACTGAAAATGGCATGGCTTCAATCACAATTTGGGGTAAAAATTTTGTTTCTGCCGTTTTTCGATATAGCCGTAATTTTTTATGTAAATGGCTATTGAAAAAACTTGCTTTGCTCGGACTGAAAATTGGCACGAAAAGATTTCTAAGATTGTTTGATAATAATTAGTGGTCAAAATATATTTTTGCAATTTTTAAATATGGCAGCCATTAAAGAGCTATTTCAATTTTTTTTAAACAAAGCCATAAGTGCCGAGGCCGGAGGCCGAGATCCGCGGAGGGCGAAGCCCGAAGCGTCCGCACGCCATCAAATGGAGATAATATACGGAGACGTAACAGATTACGAGTACAAGGTCTCACAATTGTAAAAATGTAAAGCATGCTTCCCGATGTAGTGGAAGTGAGATACTTATTACAGCGTTGTTGTATCCCAACCGTCTCTATGTTAGATTTCATTTTCTTGAAAGCTATGCCAAAGAAATATTTAGGGGGAAAAAATGCTAAACTACAGCCGAATTTCCTGTACTATGTATTCAAATTTAAATTCAAATTTAAAATAGTCTTTATTTCATAGGTAAGCATTATTACACTTGAAATCGTCACAATGGTTAAACTCTACCGCTCATTCGTAATGTACATTCCCCTGAGAAGAATGAGCAAGAAACTCTAGGGGTTGCTCTTTGTAAATAACATTTACAATATTTTTTATCCAAGTACGCTGAAGTTGTATATTAAACTTTAGTATAAAGTTTTTGTTTCACTATAGTTTTAAATCTCGTGAAAGGCAAATTTTGTATATCAACCGGAATCTTGTTATAGAAGCGTATACATTGCCCATTAAATGATTTTTTGACTTTGTGAAGACGACTATCAAGAAAAGCTAGTTTATTTCTATTCCTCGTATTAATGTTATGTCTGTCACGTGTTATGTGTGTATTTTTCATAAAGAAATTACTATTCCTTTTACCATAAATTACATTTTCATAAATGTACTGTGAGGCTAGTGTAAGAATGTTAATCTCCTTAAACTTATCTCTCAAAGATACTTTGGGGCCCAGATTGTAAATTGCCCTAACTGCACGTTTCTGCAGGACAAAGATTCTATTGATACCGGCGGCATTGCCCCAAAGCAAAATGCCGTATGTCATTAGACTGTGTAAACCAATCTAGCGGTAACCAAGTAGCTGAAGTAAACCAATCTAGCGGTTTCGACGTCTGAAAGTTTCCTTACTTTTTTAATCGCGTACACTGCAGAGCCGAGCCGTTTTGATAACTTACTTATATGGGGACCCCATTGCAATTTAGCATCTAACGTTATACCTAGGAATACAACTGTATCCACAAGATTCAATTTTTCGTTTCTAACTACAATGTTTGTAACCGTCTCTAACATTGGGTAATGTAAATTTCACACAATTTGTTTTTTTCTCATTAAGAAGTAGGTTATTAGCAGCAAACCAATCAACTACTTTAGATATAGCATTATTCACATCGTCGTAGGAACATTGGTGCCTTTTAACTTTAAATAATAAGGAAGTATCATCAGCAAACAATACTATCTCATGTTTATACCCTCCATAAGGCTAGGTAAGTCATTAATACAAAACGAAAAACAAAAATGGGCCTAGAATTGAACCTTGAGGGACACCCATACCAATTGCAGACCCTGATGATCTCGTACCGTTAACATCGACCCTCTGTACCCTGCCACGCAAATACGATTTAAGAAGGTCGAGATCACGTCCCGCCACACCACAATGGCGAAGTTTCCTGACCGGTGTATCATGGTGCACACAATCAAAAGCCTTGGAAAGGTCACATAATACACCAATAGCATCATGTGAGACTTTCCATGCATCAAATATATGATTAATCAACTCGACACCAGCGTCGGTTGTAGAGCGACCCCGAGTGAAACCAAATTGTTTAGGAGACATTAAGTTATTTATAGAAATGTGCACACATCTGATTTAGAAAAATTTTTTCAAAGTTTTTACTGAGAATTGGTAGTATTGATATAGGTCTGAAATTGGTGGGGTCAGAAATACTACCAGATTTGAAAAGTGGAATAACTTTACTTTGCTTCATGAGGTCAGGAAAGACACCATCATCAACACATTTATTAAAGACACAGGCTAAGTAAGGCGCAATACAATAATCTATTGAACTAATTACTCTGACTGAAAGACCATCAAGATCAGCAGTATTATTTATGCTTATAGACTTAAAGGCTTTAACAATATCGTTTGGAAATACATGACGGAACCTTAAATTAGTGATACTAACTGCATTATTTTTTTTAGTTAGGATTCACCGGCGGTGGGAGATGAATTTAACGACTTAGTAGTCAAAATTGGAATATCAGTAAAAAAAAATTCAAATGTTTTAGCAACTTCTGCGTCTGTGTTTGCAATTTTGTCATTAAATCTTAGTTGAAAATCTAAGTTACGAGGTTTGACCCTTCCTGTTTCGCTGGTTATAATATTCCAAGTCGTTTTCACTACATTCGCGCTGCTTTTTATTTTATTATTTATAAACATTGCTTTGGCTGCAACACAAACATGTTTAAACATTTTCGAATATTTCCTAACAAAATCATTAAAACTTTTACTAGTGTTATAAGTCCTTTCATCGTAAAGATCATATAGCCTTTTTCTACTTTTGTGAATTCCCACAGTCGCCCATTCACTAAATTTCAATGAATTATTAATAGTTATGATTTTGGACCTAAAAACATTATCACGTTCACTTTTCACTATGTTGAAAACTGAATTATACAATTTATTGGGATCGTTAACGTACGGAATGTCAGTCAGTTTAAGCATTACTATATTTCTATAGGCTTTAAGTCGACCATTATTTATCGGAACACATGTGATATCCTTTTTTGTCAACAGTTATATTAAAAGTGGCCAAGTGACCGCAGTGATCAGAAGTTAATTTATTTATAATAGATTTATTACTAGGTACGGCGTTAGTGTAAATGTTCACTAAACAAGTGGCAGTAGTAGAAGTTATTCTAAAAGGCACCAAGAAAAGTTTCACAAGATTATAACATTGGAAAAATGATATGAGCCTACTGCTAGCACTGGAATCTTCTAATAAGTTAACATTGAAGTCACCACAATGTAGGTACTATGAATACCAAATCAACGATAACCCAGAATACTCAGACCAAAACCAACTTGGAAATGTTCGATTCTTAAATTGGCATAAAACGGGAGTCGACTTCCTCATCAAGCGCCCATAGTACGAACTGCAGTGCCACTGAAGAGCATGAGCACACCCCGTAAACTGAAACCGACCACGCGTCGCAGGCCAAGCCCGACCCCACCGTAGGTGAGGTACAGGGCTCGTTAAGTATATTACAACTAATTACTTTTGGTTCATTTTTAAGTTATCTTTGACTAGTCCTATTATTATTAGTGTCGGTAGCTTGTTTTTCTATTGTATTGTATTGTAAGAAATTAAACCTTAAATGATTTTTTTCTATGTTTTGTAGGTGAATTAGTTAACTCTTTCAAAAGCGAAATTTCGAACTTACACTTGCTAAAGCCCTTGTAATGCGCTTCGAAATATTTTACGCTGTGTCGTGGCGATTGAAAACGAGTCGTTCTGCGTTTAGGGCCGAAAAATACACTCCCGAATACTGTTGTTGTGACTACGATTTTACGCTAACGCTTTCAATGAGTTTGCTGTGACGAAAAACTTAATTCAAGCT